GAGAGAACCCACGCTGCACGGGGAGAATCTGCAAACTCCACGCAGAAAGATTCCAGTGCCCCCACCGGGACGCGAACCGGCAACCTTCTAGCTGCGAGACAACAGTGCTCTGATGACTAAATAGAACACTGATAATGAATTTAATTTTACCTAAAAATGACATCAAGTAGGAAGCCATCTGAGTTCTTTTCTCTTCTGAAAATATCTTTACAGAACATGTTTTACTGATCTCAAGCTGCCTGTGTCTGTGGCATTTATAACATGAACTAAGATTGTAAAACAAACAAACAAACAAACAAACAAAAAAATAAAAACATGATGAACAGTGGAGGGAAATTTGATCCTTTAACCACTTCAGGAATTTGAATTTGAGATCAAATCTCAAAAACAAGTCAAAACAAAGACTGTTTTTTTAATGCAGATTTGTTGTTTTACACAAAGAGCCATTTGAACATTAGCTGTTTAAAATGAAGCAGCGTTTTCTCATGTTTTTGGGTTAAGAAAGTTAAAAGTTGCAGAGATCACAGTCCTCTATAACAATAGTCAAACTCTGCAGTAGTTATATTGTGCAGCTGCAGAGATTTTCTGCTTCAATAAACACTTCTGGAGATTAGTTTTAACTTCCGTATTTCAGAAAAACACCTGTCTCCTAAAGACTGTGACTGTCGCTGAATGACGGCTTGTGTTTTTAAAATGATTCTCCTTAAAATCCTGTTGATGTTTATTTTGGAGTCAGTCTCAGTCATGTGTGGAGCTAAAACATGGCCTGATTCTTTCCCTGTAACAAGAAGACGCGCTGAAGTTAAATCAGTCAACTGCTCTTCAGTTCACGGCAGATTTGAAAGAAGATGGTTTTGATATAAAACGACTGAAACTTTGCTGCTCTCCTTTTTATCTGTGATCGGTGAGTAAATCTGCTCTGATAATGACACACGGCTTTGATCAGCTCTCTGCTGCTGTGTGGGCGGGTTTAGAAGCAAACTGCTGACAGCGCGTTCGTTTGCACATAATGTGCAAATGTTCACACCTTTTCACACATATGCACACAAACACGCGTCTTCACTCCCACACAAACACCCACAAACACAGAGAAAATGGTGATTAGCAAAGCAAACTGAATGGAAACAACAAATCTGTCGGCTTACAAATCACACCTGCAGGACTACGAATGACTCAAAGCTTTTCATCTCAGGTTTGGAGCGTTATAAAACTGCTGCCACTGAAGCAGGCATCACAGTCAGAATGTTTCGCAATTCCTTTAAATCACTTTAACCACAACTCCTAACTTTACTCAAGTTGCCGAATCTTAAAACCGTAAAAACTGACTTTTTTGGCTATTAGGGAACCAAAAACCTCAAAAACACCCCAGAAAATACACAACCAAGACTTTTTGTTGCTGTGGACAACGTGTTAGGAGTTAATTATCTATTTACACATCCAGCAGACAAGAAGCAAGATGGATGGGATGGGTTTTGTTGTTGTTGTTGTTAATCACAAATACACGTTAGGATTAAAAACTGTCATGAGTGGCTATTTTAATAGTTTCTCTGCCATAAAATCTGGCTCATGCATCCCATTGATCCCTTTGTATGTCTCAAAAAAAATCTATATTTTTGCCATGATACTGATCAAAGGTATGAACATATTGCTATTTGCACAAGCTGAGCTGAAGGTGGGAGATGCTGTTGTAGCCGCAGGATGTTTCTTAACTTTGTCCGTCTGCCGACTCACCAGATGTAGTTCTGGGTGTAACCCGCAGCTTCTCCTCCACTTCCCGTATTTGTATGTTCTTTTCTAAAATCTCCTTCATTACAGAAAACATCAACAATGACCTACAGCAAACAACCTATTCTGAAAAACAATAGAACAGGCCTACTTGGTTCTTTTGATGGATTGTTCATTATGTTGGACCACCCACGGCCAATGTGAGTGATTTATAGTCGGACTGTCTTGATCTGAGGCATTTCATAGTCAACAGAAAACCTGTATTCTCGACATGATGTCAAAAAATGTATCATAGATCAGCTGTAGTACCTGGTTGTTCCACCAGGTGGAGCCTCTTACTGCTTCAAACTGCAGAGACCAGAGGAGGCGTCACTCAGGCTCCGTTTACACATAGCAAAAAATGTGATGTTTCAATGCGTTTGGTCCTTTGGTTTACACGTAAACGAAGCTACAAGTCACCAAAAACAATCATATCTGAAAACTCCAGCCAAAGTGAAGATTTGGAAAAACTTTGTCTTTATGCTAGCATGTAGACAGGAGGAGATGGAGTTTGACATCACAGTATGTGATAAAAGTCTCATCAGCGTCATATGTGTGTGACTCATGTTTGCAGTTTGGCTACTGTGATAGAAATAGATGCTGTTAAAGCAGTATTTTAATCAAGTATTTTACTTGTTTCGTACTCGAACAGGAGTAGCTTCACTTCTCTGTCGGTTCAAACAAACCACCCTCACGCCATTTTTGTTGAAGTAACAGGAAGTAATTCGTGCCATTCGTTGTTGTGTTTTTTCCAGGATTCTGATTGGCTGACATGGCTTTATGCTTCTCGTACACTGCCCCCTGTAGGTTTGCCATGCTCATAGCAGCTCTTAACGTTTATGCAGATTTGCATCAACAAAGATTTTTTTGAAAACGATCTGGTGTGAACAATGTTAGTTTTGAAAACGTAGATGCGTTTTTGTAAATACGTGTAAATGTGTCCTCAGACTACAGGCAGCTCATGTTGGCAAGCAGAGGGCATTGTAGGGGTTTAGATAGCAACGGGCACCAGGGTTTAAGGATGTGAAGAGTTGCATCACTTCCTGACATTAACTATTTTGTTGATTAACAAGTAGGCGTAGTCATGGTGGATGATTGACAGGTGCCAATAAGCAGAATCCAAACAAAACAACAAAGGGAAACAAATGAGACAAAAAAAACAACTAAAAAGTTGAATACACAGGAAATAAACAAAAGAAAAAGGAAAAACAATATGATTAAAAAATGATGCAAAATGACAGAAAGGAGACAATTATCACAAAGAGATGCACAAACAAGTCAGGATTAAACAACAAGGAGCCGTGCTTTATACGGTTTGAATGCACACAGCAGAGTCTAAAACATCACTCCGCTTCATGGTGTTACTAGTTTGTGTTCTTTTTAATGTGCTTGTGATTGATTAGTAAATGCTGCTGAATACTGATTTAGAAAACTATTCAAAATTTGCATTGCTTGCCACAAACTGTGCTCCCATGTGACAGCCGACATGAACAAAGGATCAGGCTGACGTTGAAGCTGATACCGATCAGTGAAGAAGATGCTTTGATTGGCTCCAGTCCTGAGTTAAAAGTGTAGGGAGAAAAAAAAACAAGTTTCTTGATCTGTCTTATCAGTGACGGCAGATCCAACAGATTCATGTAAATCCTGTCCGTCTGTTATCACACATGCCTGGACAGCATCTTCCTGCTTCCTCCAGACCAGACATCACACAATCTTTATGCTGATTCAATCGTGAGAGCGAAGCGATGAGATCTGAATGCTTTAACCTGAAGGCTCAGAGCAAATCACTGCCGACTCCAGCAAAACGACCTTTTAACAGCAGAGTCGCTGCTTCAGGGAGGAAATATCTGATGGAACAGAAAATGTTTTTGTTCGCTGATGACTCCACGATGTGTTTCTCTTTTCTGCCCTCCATCGAGAGACTCTTTAGTGTCAGAATGACAGCTGTGATGGCCGAGCGGTTAAGACGTTGGACTTGAAATCCAACGGGGTTCTTCCCCTCTCAGGTTCAAACCCTGCTCACAGTGGTGTCCCCATTTAACCTCAAGATTCACCAGATAGCAGCAGCATGTCTCTGTGCCTGCAATGAATCTGTCTGCACTGTTTACATGATCTGTCACTGGGTAAAAGAAGAAATTGCTGTGGACGCTGTTTACGGTTATTTTTTATTTTATTTATTTTTGGAGTTAACGTGATTTTAGTAGATATTATCTGCAATTAAAATAAATAAATCAATAAATAAGTCTGTATGATAACCTATCCACTATCACCCATCTACTTGCAAATCCAGACACTTTTTTTTCTTTTGTTTTTTACTTGTGCCAGGCCACTTGGCCAAATGGACCGACCTCACAGCACAGCTTCACTTATAACCCGGACAACTGCATTTTGCACACATGCCTATTTATCTGTTTATCACTGGTCAGCACTTGTTTATATTGCTTTTACAGTAATTATGATTTTCTTTCTTTTTTCTTAATTTTTTTGTAATGGATTTCAACCGGGACCTGAGTTCCTGACTCATTTCGGGCCATCTCGAGTGCGCTCGTATGAGAATAAAGAACCTTGAATCCTTGAATAATAACAGTAAGTAGTTTTTTCTGTAGCTCAACTAAAAAAGTCTAAGATCAGCAATAAAGAGGGGAAACGTTTGCAGCTGTTTATTCTTTTACAACATTTACTGTAAAATGATACTTTTTTTTTTTTTACTGAATTCAAACCAGCATTTTGTATATTAAAGAATAAAAATGTTATTTAAAAAAATAAATATATATATATGTATATATTACAGATTTTTCACTGTTTAGTTAGATAATATCTAGTCAATCACACATACGATGAAATCTCAAAGAAAATATAAATCTACATGTTGACTGTAATAATAAAAAATGGACCAACCTGTAAATAATGTCAACATCAATATTCAGATTTAGTATATTTGATATTTTTTTCTTTACATGGTGTGACCAAAAAATTACACAGTGTCACAGTATTTAAATCACATAGAAATGGTATATCACAGATATTTCCCGTTGTTCTCACTGGGTTCTACTGTTTTTGTTATAGTGTTCCACAGATTTCTA